TACATGCACAGTTGGGCAGCGTATAACGACTTTTGGTTAAATGACGGCATTGGATGTTTCTGAAGGACCTTTTATGTCTATATTATACTAAAATAACGGTTACCCTCAATGGAGGGCGATACAGAGGGATAGTAGCTGATCCCTGATGGCGCGACTTAGACGATATATGACCCTAGTAAAAAAAATCAAATTATACAAGCTTGCCGCAAAGATCAGGGGATATAACTCTACTGGACTTTTTACTTTAAGGTTATATTGGAACATTGCCTCATTCCAATAAATCACGAACACCTAATAATCTTATTTAACACGACTAATCGTGTTATTGGCGAAATAATAAAATTCCAGAATTGAGTTTTATTTAGGGGTCAGAGGCGATAAAAAGGTGGGTGGGTGGGTGTATCATCTAATATCTAAAGTGAACGAAAATTCACGTTGATATCTTTTACTCTCTTCTGTTTATTACAAATTAAAAAAAAAAAAAAAAAAAAAAAAAAAATACACTTGATGACCTTATACTTAAATGAAATGTAGATGAGAGCACTTCATAAGGAATTACACCCTTTTAAAAACCATATTAATATTCATATTAATGCATTTCTAAGTATACCTTAGGTGTGCAAATCAATTTTGCGCATTGTAATTCATCGCTTCATAAAACCTATATGACGCGTTCATCTTCTTCGAAATTTTGGGTATACATAGCTTCAGCATTAGCGTGCGTAGTACATAAGTTTCAGTTCTTTACAAGCGATGTATATCAGCAACATTTAGAGATATGAACGTTAAGTTTTATTCTGTTTTTAACTGGATTAAATTGGAAAAATATTCAATGATTAAGTTGGCTTGGAGGGAAAATGCAGTTAGAAAGTAACTTACGGGATTTGATGCAAGAAACTATAGTGTTGCAGACGATGGTCCATCTGGAGTTAAATACCGTAGAATTGCGACTTCTAAATCCTGGTGAATTTGTTGCATTTGAACGCTATTAAGCCCACCTGGTCGAGTTAAGTGACGTGCTTGAGGAAAAAACAAACAAGCAAAGGAACTCGAAAATTTATTCTTTTGTGCTTCACGACCTGCATCACTCGCTTGCGGCGTATTCTCCAGTCCTGTTTCCTTCCGATTAGCATTAGTTCAGATCGATACAGCCGTGATCACCACGGAGATCACCAACTTGACAAAACCAAAAATGTTGTCAAAATTGGTCGATAACTGTTTCGCCTCGGAACAACAAAACTCTTATATCTTACTACCCGTTAAGAGAAAAAAATCAAAGTCAAGGATGGTAAATGTATATTGACAGATTGTTGTTGCTTTGTCACAAATACATTTAAATAAAATTGAATTTTGTCAATTTGCTGCAGCTGATTTTTGAAATTATTCTGACGAACTTTGCATTTCAAAGATATTCACCCTTTCAGTGAATAACAGGAATGCAATTAGCAAATATTAAGATATTTAATTAGTTGAAGCTCTAGTAGTCGATGCAACGTTTTTGTATTTTCGATTAATTTTTCCAAATCAAAACTTAACATTATGAAAGGGGAGGGCCGCGGGTTGGCCTATCATGAAACAGACCAAGTTGATATTTTCAGTTTTAACATTACACTTTTCAATGTTCTGTGTGAATGCAAGTGCTAATCTATATATTATATGTATGTATATATATATATATATATATATATATATATATAAATATATATATGTATATATTTATTTAGCTTAAAATGCTAAAAGTGACACAAATGATAAAATTCAAACATGTATTACATGTCTAAAGGCAAATCCATAAATAATTCATGGTTAGTTTTCCTTCATAGTATTTTCGATAGCTTTATTGCTGGCAGCTTTAATTACTACTTAAATATGTATGCATGTGTATGTGGACTCTTACCATTTTTTAAAACAATTGACCGAATTTGTGATTAGAAATAGCAGTTTACATAATAATCGACTTAAACAATGCATACACACACACATTAATGATACATGTATGAAATTAATATTCCATTGCAACTTGCGTCCGATAGCAACGCAGTAAAGGAATTCATTTCCCATTAACAGCGGGAAAATGTATTATAACATTATTCTTGAAAAACAGAAAAAGAAAATGTTAGATAAAAATAAATAGATACCGAGTAAACTCATAATTTGATCATAATTTGAATATCTTGCTCGACTTGTAGACAGAAAAATGGATACATTTTCTTTCATAGCATAGCTTTCTCTCGCACCACACGTTACAACGAATCAATAACAATAATCGGTAACTGTCATTTAATAATTTTCTTAAGTTTCTTTTTGCAGTTCACGGCAGCAGAAAAACAAAATATAATTATTTCCGCTCGGTGCCAATGGCGAAAATTGCAAGACTAACGAGTTAGTTGTACAAGAGTATATATAGCATGCGACATAAATTATATGAATTACATAAATATAGATTATATATATATTAATATATATCGCTTTTGTGAGAAAACACAAAAGCGATTCTGTGTCCTTTACTTTATTTTCGCTTTGAATATAAAGCTTAATAGCTTTTTTCGTTCGAGGTAGTTCGATAACGAGAATCGTAAACCAGTACCTAAACGCTAAATCCAAATCTGTAATCAAAATTGCTATTGCGGAAAGCTATATGCTATGAGCAAGCGTCTCGATTTTATTCATTTATTTATTCAAGGCCGTAGGCCTTATACCTACTTATATATAGGTACACTTCATGCGCAAAAAGAAATCACAACGTAACTGAACATACAATTTAGGTAGATGGCTGTAAATGTAATCATCTTGCTCCGTAAACTCTGTAATCATTAATTCCTACCGGCACTAAAAAAAATAAATATGTATAAAAATAATAGATAAGTTTAACAGTGCCGTCAATTTTCTTCTAAACAATTTCAAGGCATTATCGAAGGAGATCAGACTCAGTGGTAACACATTCCAACATCTAACAACATGAACAGAGGCGGAGATGTTTGACGGTATAAACAAAGCGTGTGATACGGTTAACAATACTTTGAAGACTATCTAAATTATGTCTTGGGCATTCGGACAAAAACTTCAATACAATAGCATGCGTTAACATGCGTTATGAGGAGCGAATGCCTAATAATATGTTTAACCCGCCAAAAAGGAAATTTTGATTATTTACGAGTTAAATGTTTACGACGAACATATACGTCATGAAAAATGCACAACATTTCTTGTTATGACGAATGTATATGTCATTATCCGTCCATCCGTCCTCGTCGAAATTTTTTAAGCCCGCATATGATGTTAAACTTTTTTTCAGCACCTCAGTCCAATAACTCGACAGCTACTCTTCAGCCCAATTTAGATGAGGTAACAAGTCCAAATATGTTGTCTTTAAACTTGAGCAAATGCACATCACCTTTTCAGAGGTCTGCTTAATTCGCCAAATTTCTTAAACGGGATCAATATTCCGTTACGTGTATCAAAAGCGCAATTCTTCAGAATATTCGCAACTGAATTAATCATCTGTAGTTGCCAAATTGCATATACGTTCGTATACAAACGTATATATCACTTAAGGTCTGCGCGCAATGCCAGCGTTGTTAGTCTTAACTAGAAAATGATTATCCCTGGACTCGCTTTTAATGAATGACATAGGACGGCGCGAAAACTGCAACATTTTGTTGGAAAACAAACTCCCTCCCTCTCCCGTTCGGCGTTGGGTTAATGAAAACATATAAATAGTCTCGATGCTTTAACTGTCACTGCCCTAAAATAAATATGCCAAATGTAGGTGGCATATGACGAATTCCCGGAAAATCCACAAGCCAAAAAAAATTTCTTGTTCGTGACTTGTTTCGAAAGATTTATAAGTAAAAAGATTGCCTTAAAGCAAAGGCAGTTAAATCGCGATATGAAGCGTGAGCTAAAGCGTTCTCAAACATTAGCTCCTGTTAATAATTTCATTGTAAATTATCCCTTTCAAATTGTAAATAAAATCTACGGTATTCTAAATTCACAATTCAATGATACGAACTTAATTTGAGGAGTATGAGGACAACACGTGAAAAAACCCGCAGTGATTTTCATAACAGCATTTCGGAATTATTCAAACGTTTGTAGCTTAGGGCTGCCGCGTAGACGAGCAGACGGCGCGTCTTTGTTGACCATACTTGCTCGTAGCTGCAATCGAAGCTCAGCCGGTAGAGACATAAAACGGGGCACATTTCCTATCTCTTTCTACAATTCTTTCTGACCAAGCCTGTGCGACACCTACAGTAAACAATTCCCTGAGTTATTGAGTAAGTAAAACAAAGTTTTTGTTGCCGATTTGAGAATTAGGAAAATACATTTAATGCTAAATGTACAAATTATTTAAAAATGCACAATTTTGAGGTCCGCTAATGAAACACTACATTTGTTAATCAGTTCGGTGACGATCAATGTAAGAGAAAGAGGATTGTAAAAATTGCATTCAATGCCATTCCTGATAATTATAACACAAACGACTTGCAAGTACCTCAGTTAATCTGAATAGGGTCACAATATGTCTATGGAGTTACTTTTGAACTGCGAATGCAAATTTTTCGATTGTTTCACATTCCATAACGCAAAAATCGTCCGATCTGTGTATAATAGTTTAAAGTATAAACCAAGACAATAACATTAGCATGACGCTTAAGCTATCTGAGACAGTCACATCCTGGGGTTGTTTGTTATAAAAAGACGTGGCACGATTTAGAATAAATAATAAAATAGCCTGATTTAAGCATTCAATTTAATATGTTAACCTACTGTTAAGAAACTTTTGTTAACATAAAATAAAATAGCTTAGCAGTAAAAGAAGAAAGGAAAAAAAAATGTCTCAACTCATTCTCCCAAAATACTTTGTATTTATTGTTACAATATTTAAATTGCTTGCAAATGTGTACACCCAATAGCGTACGTAAATATCAACAATAATGTATATAATTGTATTGTATTGTTTGTTATAGAATAAAATTTTTTAAATGTACATTAATTTCTAGTAATTCTTTGTGGAGGTCAATAAGCACCACATACTTGAGCCGCTTGTCTTTTACTTACTAAACTAAGTGAAATAATAATTTAGTTACTTATTCACTTATATATATATATATGTATATATATATCAATAGGCAGATAATGTTGAATACGAATAATTCTCTAGACATGGTGAAAATAGATTAATCCAAAATGTGTAGACAGCGAGTAGTTAATATTGCATTTTAGAAAGAAGAAGAAGAAGAAGAAGAAGGAAATAATTTTGTGATTTATATAAAACTTTTGCTTTTTTCTTTTTATGGAATAGCTTGCAATTAAAATCACTGAGTTCATTGTAGTTTACATAGTATTATTTGCTTTGCTAGGATAAGGCATCTGCTTAAACATAGTTATCGAAAAAGAATATAAGCACTTAAGATTGCTTATATCGCCTGCATATAAAGCAAGGATATAATCATGTTCTTAACGAATTATTGCAACGCTGTTTTTCAAATATATACAATGCATATAGAATTGGAATTTGTGTTTGCATTTAAATTGAATTTCTTTTTAATGTAGCTCTTATACTTCCGTTGCGTCTATTTTTTATTTTATTTATTTATTTATTTTTTATTTATTTATTTTTTTTTGTTTAGGTTTTTTACTTATTTTGTGCAGCCAATTCCTCAATTTTTCTCCTTCTCTTACTTAATAAAGGATTGTTTGACTTATCCAGAGCCTTAATGTGCATCTGCAAATAAAAAGATATGCGCAAGAAAATAATTTTCGCGGGCACTTTCATTTATTTGTATAGATATATTTGCATACTTGATCATAGTCAACTCGCATGGTGGCCAGGGAGCGAGTCATTTCTTCTTGAACTTCAGGCCAAGTTTCCTCGCCCTCTTTCAACATTCGGCCTGTACAAAGGGGTGTTTGTGGCACTTCCGTATACTGAGCAATCCATTTATTACGCATCACATCTTCAATGGTCAAGCGTTTACTTGGATCCACATTCAACATTCCTTTTATTAAACTCTTGGCCGCCTGGCTGACATTTTGCCATTCGGGATTAGGGAAATCATATTGTCCAGTCCGTATACGTTTCTTCATTCCTGGGGAAATTGCTAGCCCATTGTTGCTATAGAATGGCGGAAAGCCGCATAGTAAAATATACATGATAACACCCAACGACCAAATATCGCAGCTTTTATCGTATTTTTCCGGTCCCAACACTTCGGGAGCTGTAGAATGATTTTCACTTAATTTTACACCAATTCTGTTATTCTACACATTTATGTGAAAGGGTTTCGTGTTCTTCTTAATAGCATTAACAATAATTTCTCCTTCAAAATCCATTCTCTCCACTTCCTATATCGGTTACTTTCGTATGGTCAAAATAATGAGGTTTCCGCAAGTTTATCAAATCCTAACATGATATCTAAATGCATAGAAATAAGTTCAAATAAACACCCTAATTGATGGAAATTAATTTAAGAATAAAAAACTCGCAATGATTTGCGTTTACCTCGGAGTAAAGACTCCTGAGCAGCCCTCCTGCGGATGAAAAAATCAACTTTTCATAAAGAATGTGTTAACTTACTGCATAGTTACTACTTACAAATACATATGTAACACTATGTTTGCAAGTGAGTTACGAATGCAAAATGAATATAAGACAGAATTCATGAATAATGGAGAGGTCGTCTTTCTACTCTTCGGAAATATACATACAACGGTGCAAAAATATCATCAAAACAGAATGGAACGAAATGAAACTCGAACGCTAATTCCGTAGACAGATATATCGATGCGTAAGCAGCCATCCATTATGTTACAAAAATAGCTTATAATTTGTATTTGAAAACAGTTATAATGAAATCTGTTTTCTATTCATTCTACGTAAAAAGTAACAAAACAAAATAAGCGATAGCTGTTCATATCCTCAGTCTAATCTGTATATAATTTTTTCTTTATCTGGTTTTTAATTCGAATTGCCGTTTATCACTAGCTATGTTGGTCAAGGACATTGTAAGTAGTAAACCATGTCCACTACAAATCGAGGTAGTTTAATAAGCTGTGAAGGCATAAATCGGCAGGTCACTGGCGAAAAACACGGTTTCCCTCGAGTTATACGGTTTCAAATTCTTTTCAAAAAGAATAAAATGTATATATTATATGTATATGTATATGATATAAAAGTATGTCAAAATAAATCATTTCTTTGAAAGAGTTATGATGAAAGGCGTTCTTTCTTCGCTTTAACATTCGCAAAAGGAATCCCGTTATTTTTTTCGTAGTAACGAAGAATGTGGTTTCAAAGAACACGAAACCAATTGATCGTGTTCTCCGGAGGCCACCTGTATTGATAACAGGTTTTATTAACTTACCGACATAATACGGTGTGTAACAGGGTGTTTGCAATGTATCCTTCACCGATGTCTCTTTGGCAAATCCAAAATCAGTTAATTTTAAAATAGCATTTGGTTGTGGAGATGTATATAGTAAGTTTTCAGGTTTCAAATCCCGATGAGCAATGTCGCGACTATGCAGATAATGGACAGCAACACAAATTTCATGCATTATCTGAGCAGCTTCTATAAAAACGGATGCCAAGCAAGCATTTTCATTGTCCATTAAATTCACAACTTACGCACACTTACCTCTTTCAGTAAAAGCACCGTCCGCATTATCTTGTATACGTTGAAAGAGTTCACCTCCTTCCATGCTAGGATAGGGCAAAGGATTAAGAACGATTATGAATATATTCCAATACTAAGGACTTACCATTCCATAACAACCAATAAACACTTATTGCCTGCATATGTATTTTCGTATACATCGACTATGTTGACAATATGACGGCAATCGCTTACCCTCCAATGTAAATCAACTTCTCTTCTTGCCTTTGGGCTATCTAATAATACCTGCAATAAATATATAATTTTACGTTTATGTTCATTTTTTATTTACATTTCACATTTCAATTCCACTTTCAACTCACCTTCAATGCATATTTTTGATTGGTTTGACGGTGTGTACATTGTACCACCTTGCCATTAATACCCAGTCCAAGGACTGTATTCGATATTTCATAATCATCGACCAGATGCGTAGCTTTTGCTTGACGTTGCTGCGTTTGATTCATTGATGCGTGCGTTTTCTTCAATATTTTAGTTTTGAAAAATTTTCCTAAAATGCACATACGTAAGGGTATATTAATTTGCATATAGTTTATATAACGATTTCTTGAAAACGCCCGAACTGTCATCTGTGCTTCGATGTCGAATATGTGTTTGAATAGTAAAGCATTTACATATTACGAGCATTTATACTTAACAATGGCATTTACAGACAGTTATCCCAAATAAATACAAATGCACAAATAAAATAAATTCGATAGTATTCCTTAGCGGGTATGCTAAATTTGTCAAATATTTATAATGCATTATCTATTTATTTATTTATATTTATTTATATATATATATATATATATATATATTATATTTGAGCAGAGTGAAAAGAATTTGTTTTTGTTAAGAGTTTAGAGCCCTATCTACAACAAATGTAATCTCAAAATTATTTTACGGTTCTTCTGCAATTAAATTTAAAAATCGCCCTTTACAGCATTTTGTTGAGGTAGAGCAATGTAGAGCCTTTAAGTTGAGGTTTTAATACCCATGAGATCGCTCCCTCTTCAATTGCAGCATCGAGCGGGCATTCAAGCGTTCTTCCATAATCGCATAGGTAATTTCGAATTAGTATATGTTTGCATAGTTATTCCACTTACCTTCAAAAACTTGAAAGTATTGTAACAAATCATTAAAGTACGATTTGAAATTTAAATGATATATGAGGATTTTGTACAACATTGCGTTGACAAGTCGAATGAATGGAACTAGTGCTGTGTCCGTAAAAGATTCAACCGAAGCTGAAAACAAACACTTTCTTATTTCATGTTGAACAAGTAAAAATATTACAATTGGACACGACCCGCCATTAAATACCCGACCCTACTTCGCTTAAAGCAGTTACTTGTATAACGGCTTTTCAAATTAATATGTTATATAGGAAATGGTCGAAAAGGTGGCGCGATCTGAGTCTTTTTCAATAGCATTCGTCCTTGGGTCAAAACATGATGATATAACAAATTTCGTCAAAGTATCTTAAAAATTGCGACCTAAAGATTGAACACAAGCTTAAATCGATTTAGAAAACAATTTCGTATAGATAGATATAATCAAAAATGGATCTATGTGAAGTCATTTTGGATTTTGTATAAATTTCCGCAAACATATTATACCCTTGCACCGCAAGTGATGTAGGGTGTAAAAAAATATTTTGTATAAAAGAAAAAACTAATACAGAAAATTAAAAACTAGAATAAAAAAATGAAGAAAATCGATCAATCAATCAAGACACTTTTCGCATATGCTATATATATGTTTAACTTAGCATCTCCACCCTCCCGTTGGAAGCGTCTTCGTCAGGCGACGTTGCAATGCTGTAAGTAAAACTTAAGGAATGCTTCCATGATTTCTCAAAACGTATTTTCAATCTAAACTCTTTTCATTAACAGTTTAACGATCGACAACTAATAAGCGATAAGAAAATATTTAAAGATATATTCCGCAAATAGGAAACTCACATCACTCACTCACTCTAATACACACTATGCACTTTTACGATGATTATAATCTTGCAATTTTTGACTATTTCAATAAATATATTAAAAGCAAATTTCAGATGAAACCATTGCCTGATGAAAAATATGCGGAAATTCTTGAAAATATCATTTCTAAGGGGAAAAAGAGTAGAAAGTAGCTTCCTTCTTGCGACAAACAGAATGTTTAGTGCAGATATTGTACAGACAATCGGATATGCTTAAATCAGTTTAAAACTTGACGCTGATCACTATTACATATTATCTATGGGGTCTTTGAAGCTTTCACAAAAAGCACAATGAACATACCCCCCTTTCCAGGTGATGTATATATGTAAAAGCAAAAAATCGCTGTTCACATGTTGTAGCTTGTGATCTGTCTTCATTTTGGGAAGCAATTGAGTTACAATATTAAGGGACTCTTCACGAATTTGATTTGACTGTTTGATTAGCCTACGACGAATATGTGTCATATTTGGTAATTCGCGATACAGAAATTAATTTTCGGCCCAATATTTTTTGAAACGCTTGCAACACAACAACTATACTGTGTAGTTGTACTGTATATCATACATGATCAAGAAACTTGGCCCGCAAGCTGTAAAAAATACAGCAAAATACCCGAATGAATATCTTAACAAGAGTAAATTCGCTTCCGCAAAAACAAGTGACCACGAAAATACGTAAGCCCTCACAAGAAGTCTGCGTAAAATTTCTATAAGGACTACACAGAACACCTGCCTCGAACATGTTACTTCATCTCGACATATTACTTGCGCTCCGAGAGAAACTGCCAAAAAAACTCCATTTCTTAAAGCTATTGCAGTGCCTCTTTCCCTCCTAATGCAAAGAGGATTAGTGATGGTAATAAATAGATCGTGCAAAGCTTGCACATTTGCAGGGAAGACCGACCCACTTGCGATTAGTAATTCTCCAAAGTCAAGCATCCCAGGATGCTCTAGCGTTATACTCTAGCAATTTTACGCCGCAATCCTGAACAATTAATAGGCGAATGCAGGACCGTTCGTATTATTACGAAAAAAAATGAAGAAGAAATTTTGCTTTATATTAAACGAAATACACGATACCATACAATAAGAACAGTGCCTGCAGCGTAAGAGTGCTCGTTTTCGCCCAAATGTTGTAAACAGCAGCGCCATCATCCCTATCATGTTGTATATAATGTTATGCATTCTCACTTCAGATTGCTAGTGCAGTGTCTTGTTGTTTGTAGAACTATTGTTGACAGTTTTTATTAACTAATTATTATCTAATGCTACCGCATGTGCGACTTTCACCCGCAAGCATTGACTTGGAGCTCGCGATTCTTACCTATACGACTAGTCATGAGACGGTGTTCGCATCTCGGGCTACTCCTACGAGTATTCGCTCTCTATAGGACCCTAGTCTGTAAAAAAACTGTAATCTTCAAAATTACTAAACAATAGCATATCGACATGGGATTACTTTCCGATGGCTTAATTTTTTGAACCCGCTCCCATGTAACCGGACCGAAAGATAAGCATCTACATAACAAGAAGCTTTATTTTTTTTAAATTTTGTGATGAGAATTGATTGATATTATTAATTTGATATAGAATTAATCGTAAATAAATAGTTTACGATAAAATAGAAACCGAGCACATATAAGGCTCCCATGAAAAGCATCTATTTAAGTAGGAACTATATACAACTTGTGGTATATTCTAACAAAGGTAAAGAATTGTTGCCGTGAAATGAAATCCCTTGGAAATCATATTAAACGCCCGCCGAGACCAATCGGATATGATAAGTCTCGTAATAAGTGAGCCCTTCATAACTATACTCGCTGTTGAAAATCACGAAAACGAATTTTACTGATTTTCATCGAAGCAAACAATTCAGCGTCGTCTCAGTCAGAGATCGCCAAATACAATATCTACTTTGGCCCGATCAGAAGAGAATCGCATCAATTTCCTTATTTGAATATTATTAGATGTAAGATCTCTCGCTATTGCGAATATCCCAAATCGTATTTGGCATAACGCAGTTCGCTAATAAGAGCAAATTTAATCCTTTACACGAGTGTTTTATTCTAGCATGAATCCCAAAACAAACTTTGTCCTCAATTCCAATTTGTCTACTTACGGCGAGACCTGACAACCCGACAGCTGTGCTGTACATATCTAATATATCTACGGATGATAACACTTATGGCCAATCGGACGAATACTTGCGAAATTGTTTTTTATTCTTAATTTCAATATACATTTGTGTAAAGTACGCTTATGGACTGAATTTTAACCCTATACTAATTTATGTATGTATTTTGTATAATAAAAATGAGTTGCTTTTGTTTCGTAAACAATATGGATTTCATTATAACTTTTTGTGCATAGTTTTTCGGAGAAATATTGTATATTAGAGTTTTTTTTCAGCTTTTTCGTAATTTCACAATTCAGTTAAAAAATATAACTGTGAATTTACTATATCCCATGTACCTCCTTACATGATTTTTTTTTTCGCGGTTTTTCGAGGGACGCATCTACCGTGTAAAGAAAGAGTTGGGTGTAGAGAGAAACAGAACTCGTATTTCCATTATTTATAAATTTACTTAAGGTATTTTTTATTTTTTTTTTTATGAGACAATGCGTTGGTAGTTTTAGTAGCCCCTGATGTATATAATAACGTAATTTCCTGTGTTTATAATAAAATTTTGTAGTATATGCATGCATATAGAAATTCTTTTTTTATAGTTTTATTACCCGCCGAAATGTTAAAAATGCCCAACGCTGCCAAAAGTTTAGACATTAGTTCTAGCGTAATGAGAACTCGAAAATATGTATACAAACAGAACATTACACGGTTAGGGGATTTAAGACGCTTTCTCTTCATAAGGATCTGCACTTCGATTTCGATTGGGCTAAAAATTGCATGCGGCTGCAGATTCGAATATTTTTCAATATGCAAAGAAAAACTTTTTCTCTATCGAATATATTGAACGAACACTCTCTGAACAAAAAATATAATAGAATGAAAGGACTTGTAAGTGTTTGAAAAAAAGAATGTATGGAATAATTTCAGTGGACTTACCGCACATTCTGCCTGATCGAAAGCGTTTTCACCGAGTGAAGTTGCTGTGCAAGATGAATTTTAAGATGGATTTTATAAAATGTTTTTAAGTCGATTAAGGAGCCGATCAAAATGGTGACTTGATTTCCGCTCAAAAGTTGGATAACATAAATTTTAAAATTAACATTAACAGATGCTCAGAATTACTAATAACAGTTTTTTATTTTGTAAGCTATTGCGAGCGCGACAAGTCTACTTCCAACGATGCACCTTGACCGCGTTTCTTGACGGCTTCAGTATTCTACATTAATTTTTTCGACCCTGAGCGTGCCAACAACAGACCTACGAACGAATTAATCAATGTTCTTGACTAAATTGACTCACTTATCGTGTGCTAACTAAGGATACATATACTTGGTAGAGTCTTGAAGAATATTTTCAAGTGCAACAAGTGGAAGAAGAAATTTAATCTACCCTCAACCTTTGGCGTCGGATGTAATAACCAGAAAATTACATTCCGTATAGATCAAGCATTTTAGTATCCACCAATAGTTCCCCCTAAAACGAGCAAAGCAAATATGAAATCATTTGTTAAGCAATTTAAGGCCACATCCGAATTTTGAATAGTGAAGACTTCATTTACACACCACGCAAATTTGCGCGAAGAATATTAGATTACAACGCAAGATAAAATACATTGAAGATCTCATAAAATGTATGCAGGCGTCGCCCGCTTAACACGTTAAGTGCAAGGCACGATTTCAATACAAAACGGTACCAAATTTTGCGAACATTCCGCAATACGATTTTCAGACAATCGAATATTTGTTTTGTTAATTGATTTGTGCCTTTAGTAAATCCGCAAATAAACTCCCGCTGATCTTCGTTGCTTCATAAAATGTACCTGACGTGATCAATGTTCAGGTGTAGACAATTTAGAGATTGATGTTTGAACGGTGTAAGTTTCACTTGTTTATAATAAGCCGGCGTTCAGTGAATATCAAGGTTTAAAGAGATGGGTAGTCTTACCGCACCCGCTACATTCTCCAGATCCGATTATCAGTTATTCAGATCTATGCAGACATAGTTAACATGTCAGCAGTTTATGGAAGCTGAAGAGGTGCGAAAATGGGTCGATGGCTATTTCACCTACAAACCCGTAAGTTTCTGTTGCGGGGGTATTCATCTAAACTAAATGTCGAAAGACAATAGGTAACGATGGTACATATTTCGATTGTGCAGCTTCGTGGCAAATATATTCTAAATAAACTCAAATTTTATGAAGGAACGGAGGGGATTTATTTGCACACCTATTAATTTTAGCTTATAGTTAATAAGGGGACTTTCAACCAACTTTAAGGGAAAATAATAGATGAACCGTAATTTTTAATGAAAATTTATCTGGTAATCGTCACCATTATCATAATCATAAATTTTACAATTTCTGTTTTTTTTCATGAAAATTTAAAGTTAAGTTACTTTTCATTTTTAAGGCACACTTAGAACAAAATTTTGTGGTAAGAGTTTCATCACAAAGTTTTACACCTTAAGACTTGGCTTCGATACAACGCGGTACAAATTGCAGTGATTATGATTATTTTAAGGCATCGTACCACACGGCTTCGCTAAAAAGCAACCAAGGATTCGATACAACATGTTATTCTATACGGTGTTTTCGCTTAAATGAAAAAATTAACCCGATTTCGATACAGCAAGGTACGCATTAATCGTGTTAAAAGGGGGATGCCCGTTGCAGGAATGTTGCTGATCATCTCAAACCAAATCATCGTACAGTAGAGTTTACGTTCATCGCAGTGAGTGCTCGGTTGGTAAAGGCATAACAGCACCGGTTTGTGGGCACGTATCCTTTAGGCTAGGGCTACAAGGTTTATCTCTCACTTCCTCCACATCGACGTAGCCATCATAATGTGACAAACATACGGGGCAAATTCCCCTTTCTCTTCCCTTATGCTTGTCTTTCTCTGACCGTCATCGTACTTCACTTATGGGTGACATGTCCTAAACGGGTTGGTCATATTAAAAAAAAAAAAACCTAATAATAAAATTAACTTAACCTTCTCGGGCTCTTTGTGTGCGTGTTGTCCGCCCGTAGATGTCACATTAGCAAAATTTTACCTAGTAGGGATAGTTTTCATCATCTCAAGATGGTTCGTTTCATACCCATCGCCTTACGTTCAAAAATCAGCTAAATCGTTTCATTAAAATCGTCACTGCCACACATGTATAGAATAAAAGTATACAATGCATTCTCAAGCAAATGGATCTTCCATTCATCTTGCAAACGAACACCGCACATAGTAAATATATGGGCAAATTACTGATATAGAATATTGCGCCCAAGACGAATATATTATCTTCATTTTTTTTTTTTTATTTTGCTTTTTTTATCTATTCAACAGATTGCTTTCAATTTAACAACAGTTTCCCCACTCTTCTTTCCAAAGACGATCAATCATTAGAATTTTTGTTGCTAATAATGATGACAACGATTTAACAAATATTCTTGTAGTAGTCTTCTCTATGATAAATTAATGTTTCCGCAAAACCAGTATTCATCAAATATTGCAAATTGCAATTGAATTGTTTATAAGAATTGAAAATGTAAACTGAAAACGTTGCGCACACAATTTTACCTCAACTTTTCAGCATTCATTAGTATTGCCCGTTGAGAAATTTTATACGTTTAATTCATATAAACAGAAAAGCAATGATTTGTTTTTCAAATTAATATATTCGTACGATTTTGGAAACTTATAAACATATTAATGTATATACTCTAGTCAAAAAGTACCAGGAATTAATTAATTAAATCATCGACTTAAAATAAAGTTGATGAACTTTACACAAACTGTTGCAAATCCTTACTGATATCTAATTTTAGTGCTATACATGAAAAGTTTATTTACAGCGGCTGTTCTTATAAATCAGATAATATATATTTTTCTCATTTATCATAAGTAAAGATGTTGAGTAAACCTTTGCATTTTAAAACCGAATTTCTTTACTTACGAAGACTTAACTTTAACAGAAATTATACAGAAATTTTAGATAAACACAACGGAGCCTATCATGGAGTTATTAAACAGTTGTCGCTTTTCGCATAAAAACATCCTTTAAATCAAACACAGAGAGATCACTACACAGTCTGACCTTCTTGTTGTAGTATGAATTGCGAGAAAATGTTTACAATGCATTTAATAACTCCAACCCTATAAACGGTTGTAAGTGTTAATTAGGTACATCAACAAAATCGCCACACAATGCCTTACCGAAAATGAGTCAAAAAGCAAAAAAACTTGAGATCTAATTATTCAAATTGCGATTTTTTATAACTTTCTGATGAGACGAACCAGTCAGGCGCAAGTATCAATTAACACTTTTACTATTTAAGAACAATTTGACGCGGTTTCTTTACATTAACAACTTTTCGTACTTTCGTGTATTCAAATTGTCCATTAGAGCATTATGGAATTCCTTCGAAATATTCACACCGTGTTGGCGCCAATAACCTCTTCAAAAACTCTTTAAGACTAGGATCAATTGTAAACAAATCGACTAAAACTACATTCATTTCAAGAATTTTTTTACTTTTTTGTTCACTAGCCCTTGAAAATGACTTCAGAGCTATGTAACCATGTAAGCAATTGATACATACACGTTGATGAATTGAGCATTTTATCACTTTATACACTTTTCGAGGCCAGTTAGGCTATTAAGAATAGTTGCGGAATTCATGGACAAACGTACAAGGCAAAAGGACAGCGCCAAGGGTGACCATAGTCGCTGTCATGACAGAGCAGTCTCAGAATCGCGTCAATTGCGAATTAATACGTTCCTCTTAATTGTCAATGAGGACTGGATTATTTATATTCTCTATATTTTCATTTCGGTGTGGGGACCGAGCGCGTTATTTATTTAATTTTTGTTCACCGCCCGTCGTCGTTTCGCATTCAATCAATGCGTCATAACATTACATGCCAATTCTTAATTTTGTCTTAATCTTAGACTCCGCACGTAATTATCTTTGCATTAAATTATTATTTTATTTATTATTTGCAGATGAGAGACAGTATACATAATTAATAGCTATTTTTTATTTTAGTGCAACTTTTTAACCTACCTGCTGCAGTTTGTCACACGCACTTGCCTATTCACTATTAAGTATTGTTATGCTTTTTTTTTTTCCTTCATACTAATTAGCGTTTATTTCATTCTCTGCTTGTTCTTAAAATGATGGCCAACGCTCTACACATAGCACTATAGGATTATTTAAATTGAAAATAAAATACCTAAGTGAAAATAACAAACCAACACGAAATGGGACTCGATAACGGAGCGTGCATAGCTAACGCAGTTAAAGCGATCGTATGTCGTAGTACAAGTACAAGGATTTCGTATAATAATTCCCGGAACAAGGTAAGATAAAAACATTTTTTTCCTAAACTGTCGATACGATCTTCTTCAAGAATGGTCCAACCAAAGATTCTTCAACTTATCAAAGGGTTGTGTTTTATAGAATTATTTCTCAAGAGCCTCAAAATAAGCGCCAGTTTTCGCAATGATCTCTTGCTTTGATCCATATCTTATTCCGTGGAGCATCTTTTTAAGATTTCCAAACAAATAAAATTCGCGGTGCAATTTAATTTAGCCAGTACTCTGAATCACAGTATCACCTTGAGGTTTTTCGTCCACCTTCAACTATTTGTTTCGCTAGGTGATTACCGCCCTATTAGCATTCTTTCTGCTCTGTCGAAAGTTGTTGAGCAGTTAGTAACTGATCAGATTGCGGTGCACTTGCTTTTCAAGAATTTACTTTTTGAAGTCCAGTCAGGTTATAAGCCAGGTCACAGCTTTAACACCACTATGCTCAAGATCCTGGGTGCGATAAGGGGAACTTGACGAAGCTGATTAGAATTGATATTTCTAAGGCCTTCGACACTATGAATCATAATTTACTCTTAAAAAAGCTAATGTTTTACTTTCGCTTTGATCCGACCGCGGTCAAGCTTGTTATTTCTTACTTTGATAATTGGTGTCACTGCGTGAAAGTAGGTTCCTCCTCCTCTGATGTTAGAGATTAGTATCTTCATTAATGAGCTAGTTGTGAAGATTATGATTCAACGAATTAATGACGATTTGTATCGCATCTCGGATTGGTCCGTTCTCCATTATTTAAAGCTTAATTCAGATAAAACGAATGCTATCGTGATATTTAACAGTGCTCGTGATTGGGACTCCCTTTCTAATATTAAAATGGATGACACAGTGGTTGACATTGTCCAGCGGGCTGCCATTGCCGATCATGTCGATCTCATGATCGTGCGGATACACAATATTCTGAGGAAACTGCGTTTATCTTCTCCGTACGTACCTACACAAGCTAGGTTAAAATTATTTAAATGTCTTATTGTGCCACTGATGTCGTATTTGGCAACCTTGATTGGGCCTCACGCGCTAAACTACAGCTGTCTGCCAATAACTGTGCCAGGTACGCTTTCAAAAAGCACAAATAGGACAGAATATCCCCGTTTTCGATAAAGATTTTAAATTCTGATTTTTTATCGTTTCTTAACATGCGAAATGTGATCTCCGTCCATAAACTCATTTTTACTAGTACGTCAAAATATCTATTTGAGAAAATCCTATTTATCAAATGCAGACGTACGATGAATTTGATTCTTGCAGACCATGAATGTTTAAGATCATCAACACTATATTTGATCAACGTTATAAAGTTATCCAACTCGTTACCGCCTAATATTAATATTAATATTAAGGGTACTGTTACTGTATATAAGTTCAGAGTAGCAATCAGCAATTATGTAGCTATGTGCAATTTCTTTGTCAATGAATAATTGTTCGTATTACCCTACTTACTTTTTTTTTCATTTATGTCGAAAGAGAGCTTCTTGTACGATCATACTAGTACGATAAATCTGTTTTATTCGTAACTAATCGCAATTAATAACAAAATTTAATTATATTTGTAATTGTTCATTTAATAATTAATTATTGATTAAGTAAGCTACATAATAATATAAAATATACAAACTGAAAGTATCCTCTTGTCGTGGAAATATAAACGAGGCTTCATTTTGTCAGCCGCAATGCAAATTGCATCAAATTTTAACAGGGTTGACTCTTTCAAAAAAAAAAAAAAAATGGAAATTTGAATATTTATCAAGATTGGGTGCAAGAAAGAAATAAAATTTGTAGTAAAACTTACGCGACTTATTGCCTTGCGAAATAAGTTGTGATGAAAAAGAGCTTAACAAATACGTGTCCACTACTACGTGTCAAAATAGAATTGTCAACAAAAAATAGAATGATGAACACTTTGATTTTAAGTCTTATTGACCTGAAACTTTGAGAAAATAGCCTTGACATATCGTAGAATGTTCTGCAATTCAATTAAAATACCATTCAACTCACCAACTACCGTTTGATTTCTGCATCAAACCTTTATACCATTATTATTATTATTATTATAATAACTAATTTTGTCAAGGAAACAAATTATAAAACTTAAGTCTTAAAGCACTAGCACCTGAAGTGCTCGGCTTCATATTTTTGTCGAATAGTGTCGAATTGTTAAAATAAATAACAAATAGTTATTAACTTTTTCTTTAAAAACAATAGTAAAGAAATAGAGTTTGTCTGTATTCTCATCATTTTATTTGCCTATATACACAGCAGAGTGAAAATTGCCAATGCCAAATAAGAATTCTTTTCAATACATATTACGCTTTCTCACATTTCCGACGAAAAAGCAAAAATTAAAATTTTTGATTATAGCTTTGGAATGGAAATTTTTCGCATCGCGAGTGCTTTTATGCGCTTTTTCGATTGAAGAGTTTGGATTTAAATCGCTGGTGCAAAGATACAAAACAGCTATGTATGCAGCCTTGTAAAGCGTGAACACTTAAGCAGAAACACAATTTAATATTATACAAGCTTTCTGTTGTCTGTTGTTTTGTTTTTTCGCAGTTAAAATACAGAGGCATGTATATATTTTTTTTAACATATATACAACGAATATTAGCAGCGACAATTCAATGCATATCATTTTAAAATGTACTTCTTTCTTTCCTAAATTTTAATAAATGACATTGACGAGAAATTGAATAGACAGAATTGAAATGCTTGTTGCTTGGTTTTTGAAGATATTGAATGAAGTTTGTTCAAGACATGATTTGCTAAATGAATTGTTTGAAAACTGTTCAAACAGCTTTAGAGCATGGATTCTTTAGTTTCATTTTTCTAATTGCCTCTAAACAATTACTCCTCAAAAACGAAATATGTAAATACATTATTATGCCAAATCACATCCATAATGATAAGATTTTATGATGAAATCCAATAAGGCCGGATGGATAGATTATGAATTATATATTCGCCACATACAGTTAACCGATCTAATATCCTTTGCAGAAAAAAGGCAAAAAAGCTGAAGGAGAAAAACGCCTGAATTTTTGGCAAAACAATGTATGCACAATCCATATTGATGATAATTTCATATAGACTGAGAATCACACAAAATTTTACGAATATATATCTGGTCTTTATATGAAATAATGTGCTTAAGGTTTACAAACATCATATTTCGATCTCTTCAATGTTTTTATTTTTTCATCACATGACGTTTCTCTCAATTTAAGACTTTTAGGTGCATCAAGTATTATACATTTAAATACTACTGCTACCTATATATATGTGCAAACAAATATAAATCTTAATTTATATAAAAATTTATTCTAAGGTGAGCGGAAGAGAAAGAAATGTTCGCAAACTGATTTAACAAATTTTACAAAACCATGATTGTTTTAAAAAATAAAAAAATATTTAAATTTTTAAAAGCTTAAATTTTGTAAAATAAAATCTAAATCGTGTTGGGGAGGGGAAATTAGCGATATATGTACTTTAATATTAACTTTTCACTCGAAACTGTTGATTTTGCATACGGGACACGCGGTGCACCACAATAATTATGAGGGTAGACCCAATGTCTTGCGTACTAAACGTTTGGCTATTTGATTAAATTCTTCTCGACGTTCACGCCACATAATTGCTGCATCCACATTGGCCCCAGATTCATCATTTGGTTCTATTAATAAGAAATATATTTCGTTCAATATTTTTCAATAAATAAAAGCTCAAGTTCGCTCTGGTGGCGGAACCTTAAAATCTACCACCTAAAGTAAATATACAAAACATATAAGGTTAATCGTTGGCACTTAATTACGATAAATAATAAATTCCCAACCAACTACCGTAGTTTTCGTAAGCGGTATTGATGCAAAAATACTTTCGACATTTAAAATAATCTTTAAAGGACTTGATTTTGATTTCTAGTTAAAGCAAATGTGTTTTTGCGCGTTGATCATCCCCGTCATGCGTTCAACTGGGACGATCTTACATCAATTTCAATAATAGGCATAACAGACCGATGCATTTGCCTGTTGAGCTGAAACTTGTTCATTGACTAAGAAAATTAACATGTATACACATATACGTCTACGTACTCATTGCATATGATAATGATGATAATGGCAGAGTAGTTGTATGTATTAATTTAGGTGGTCAGTACGAAAATCAAACATACCAGCCAGCATTGATACGACACTAAGTAAAATTTTTTCTACACTTTGTACGGGACTCCAACGTTCAGCAGAAGATTCATAGCCCATCGGGTCGTCACCGGGAGCATGTAATATTGATATGCATACACGACCATCGGCAAAAACTAAATAAATTATTTTTTGTTTACTTTTCTGATAGTCGATAAACTTACTATTAGGATGAAACATTTCACAGGTAAATTTCATTTTGGGTGGACTTAATGGGTAATCGGGAGGAAATATTAAGCGTGCAGGAAATACACCGCCTTCAAAACAAGTTCCTTCAGGACCGCTAATAATTTATAAACAAATATTTTGAAATTACCATACATAAGTACATATATGTATATGTATGCAATTTACAACTTACGCTATTAAAGCCTCCCACTCGAAAAAGTTATCCTCGCTGATTGGCCCAGCAACTATGCCTTCCGGTGGATCCAAAGTAAGTTCTACGAGTAGATAGGAAACGCCTTTCAATTTTGATAATATTCGAATTATTCTTATTGAAAAACTAACGTTTATATTCGGCCATTAAACGTCTTAACGCTGATCCTGCCATATTTACTTTAGTGTCGCCTATTTGCCCGTCTCCCTCTACTTTTCCTTATTGTTGCTTCGAATTACAGCCAATTTCTTACGTTCTTTCACTGTATTTTTATAAAATGATTTCTAAATTACTTCTTTCCTGTATGCTGCATACGTTATGCATATTTTTCTTCTTTGTCTTTTTTTTTGGAATTTTAAAAGTGCAAACCATAGAAAAGAGAAAAATCCAAATAAAAACGTCACTATACAAAGAAAAACGATTTTAACTAGGGATGTGTAATTAATAAAAATTTTTTTATCTTAGGGATATGACTACCACTTGGGATTTGTTTATTGAAAATATGTAAAATTGCTGTAAAACAAACAAAGGGAATAATTTGGAAATGTACATTAGTCATGTGTGCAACGTAAACTGCTCTTGCTGGAATGGAACAACATATCTACTTCTAAAATGTTAAAACGACTTCTTTTTCTGTGCGAAAATAACGAACTGAAATAAAAATTTTAATTTAGTTAAACGAAAAACGCAATACTTGCGTTATGCGTTATACGGGGTGCACACGCACGCATAATAAGTGATAATCATGTAAGCAGGACATCTAATATGTATCTTTTACTTAACTAACTCTTACTTGAAAGACGCATCTTGAAGGCCTTTTGGATGTGATTTATGTATGGCTTTCTCATCATTCATATTGTTTCATATTTTCATTTTTTAGGAAAACTTTGGATTGAGAACTTGAAATTTGAATTTAAATATATATCTTTTTATTTGTATTTTATATTATATATTTATACATGAAAGTATGAATTTACCTATAAGTTATGTATAATGCTTTAAAATGAATTGCAAATCAACTCTATTTTTGTATTATGTAAATAAAAGCCAACTTTTTGATTTTGACAAAACATCTTAAAGCGGATTTATTCGTTACATTTTTTATCTCAGTACAATTCAATTTAAAAGCGCAGCATGCATGCCGGTTCTTATTTTCTCACTTATTCGCGTCAACTACTAGCCATCGAAACGTTGCGAAACGTTGACATCGTCGTCAAAATAAGTTTACTTTGATCAAAGAAATCAAAAGTTTACTGCCGTAATTTCCGTGTGGTCGCACACCTTACGAATAAAATATTCATATGTGTATACACAAAGCCATATATAGGCACATTAATTTATCACCATTCCGCGCGGAGTTTTTCTTCCAAAACCTTACCTTACCTTTCACAAATTGCAAACTTTTTACTTTTGGTTTGCTGTTTGTAAGCAAACAATTTAGTTTGAATTTTATTTTATTTTCTTAATAAATTATTAACTCAGAACAACCAATAATAGCGTAAAGTGTGTGCTATTTACTAACGTCTCATTTGACAGCTTTGGGAGAATGTTTCTGGCATACCCTGAGCGTACAAGTAGTAAAGAGAGTCGAAATTTGAAAATGACAATTAGTTCCCACATGACGGTAGCCGTAATTATCGCCTTGCTTTCTTAGGATGTAGTTGGTTGTCGTCAAGAGGTTAATCATGTACCATTGCCGTCAATTTCTTATACGTGCCGTCGAATTTTGCATTATAATGCATAATAACTGAGAGAGGTGTGCAAAAGGAGGCGAAAGTTGACGCTCGCTTTTTTTGTTTATGCGAATCGCAAATAGTAAACAATAACAAACATGCAAAATACAAAAAATGATGTAAAAATTGTCTTAAATCATAAAATGATGATGAAGTTCAATGAAATTTTTAGGAAAATCCAAATAGTGATCATAATCGATTTACAAAAAATGTACATTTAGTTGTTACGGGTGAGTAAAGATTTCTTGTAAATGAACACCAATACAATTTCTAGCATCTGCAGTGAACGAGCAATATGTTTAGGTCTGCGTATTCCAGTTTTACAGTCTGTGTCTTTCTATAAACGTTGCTCTAAAAGAGAGTTTTGTGATAGCTTTTCCTGATTTAACGGAAAATATGTTCTCAGCGACAGCAACTTTGCTCACTTGATTAAATCACAGCGTGGCTTTTTTAAAAAGTGCAGCCTCATAGGTCTTTGTTCACAGTACTATATCTCAAATAAAACTTTTTCATTGTATGTGATTGCCAATGTTAATCCATCCAGTGTGTGTTTTATTTCAAATGACCAGTTTAAACATTCAAAGTTTGCGCTGGAGCCTAATATCTGTAAAGGTTTGATCTTGAAAAAATTGTGTAAGCTTGAAGTTGTCAGCCATCAGAAAGTTCGCCATAACCCATTACTCAATGAGTTCCTAGTATGGAAATTTGCATGATTTTTAGATAGAACCAGTCTTCAAAACAAAGGCATTCAAGTTTCACGACATTCTTATCATAAGTTTACAACTTACAGTGGATTTAGTGACGCTGTACACGAAACTCAGATTTTTTCATTGTTACACATGGTCGCTACAAATTCTGTAACTTGCAAACTAATTCATTAGAATTTCGTAAAATTTTCACACATATCGTTTGAACGTTGTTACCCGCCAAAAATCGTTCGCGTCCATTCGTCGTACTACAAGTAGTGCAGTGTATAAAGAGGAATGACAATTTTGTCAAGCGAATAACACTTTAGTTAATTAAGGCATTGCAATAATTTCCTCAACTTAAAATTTGTTATCTCCAAAATCGGCACCCAAAACTAAGTTCTCCATGTCATTGACTAATATCTTCATCTTAAGGATAATTAATCAAACTTAGTTGAATTTCTCTTAGTCTTATTATATATGAAATTTGATCATTTTATTTATTTGCGCAAGAACATGTTTTTTACTTTGTAAGATTTTGATTATTGTTACAATTGTTTGAGTATTGTTCTATTTGATTGAAGCTTAAAATAGGCTACAAGGAAAGAAGAAATAATTGACGGAAAGAAAGATAGTAAATTTATTTTGGTTAATATCAATAAATTTAAACTAAAATTAATTACAATTATATATAATTTTTAGCGTTAGTTGCGCTATTTGCCTTAAGGCAAATCATGGATAATACCCACCGCCTCGAGCCAATCAATTTTATATATGTGATGTGTGTTTCCTAACTTAATTTTGGATTGCATTAAATATTCTTTAAAAAAAAGAGACTAGGGCTGTGTGAAATTTATTAAGGAGAATTTAGAAAAAAATGATATAGATTTCAGTGATTGCCACCACTGATAGTCATTGCGTGTTTGATGAGCGTTTTATGAAATGTATTTAAAGGCTAAAAAACATTTATCAGTATTAAAAAAAAAAAAGGTAAAGGATGGAAGGCATTCATCCGATAGGAGTAAAATAGTGGTGTTAGCTTTTTATACAAAAACAAAAAGAAAAACCAAAATTGAAGTTTTCTCTGGGTATAATGAGAAAATTTATATATTCCATAAGCGAACTATAAGTGCAGTGGTTTTCTACATCAACCGTTAAGAAGAATATTAGTTTACAAATGCGTAATCAAGCAGTTCAAGTACGGTTATTGAATGAGGTCGTGTTGATGCGCGATGCGCGAAAAGTCATGCGCGATCATTAAAAGTATGCCGTCGTCGCAGAGAAAAGGATGGTTCAAGCAACTAAGTGGTCATAAGTTCTACTAGAGCGCTGTCATTCTATCATTTTCTTTTTCAGTGCAAAGCTAATATATACAAAGTTAAATATTAGTAATGAAATGGTTTATTAAAATGATGGATGCTTTACGCACTATTCAGAAACACAAATTAATTCTAATTAGATCACAATGTGTCTTCGAGTCACATTTGAATTTTGAATTTAAGTTTTTTAATAATTTCACTTAAAATTAACAATTAAGCCCAACAAGTGAAGGCGTTGTAGTGGACCAGGGTTCACCGTTAAATACTTTACACTACCCTATAGGTATTCAGGTAATGCTCTAAAATGAAGCGTTATGGTTGAAGAAGTGGTTGGATCCGAAACATTGGCAACAGGGTCTGTTCTTGGACCAAAAGACGTTCATGTATCAAATTTGATTGAAATATTTTAAAAATTACGGCTTTTAGGTTGAGCATAAACAAAGGCAAAGGCGGACAAATGGACGAGCAAGCATAAATCAGTTTAGAATCATTTTTTGTACAATAAAACGTCCTTCTGGATGTTTCAAACATCTGCCGAAATGTAATATGTCCGTTTATCACATGTGATATAAGGTATAAAAAAATATATATATGCGTATGTAAGTTTTTAATCAATTATGATATCAAAATTAATCACTTTCAGAAAATGAGTTTTATTATACCACGATGTGACTGTCAGTCACACAGCATATTATTACGTTACACTGTGAAATATGTACATTGGATATTAACCTTTATGCGATGTATATTTGTCGAGACATGTTTTAATTTTCTACTACATATGCATTATAGAGAGTACCGTTGGTTTGTTTTATACAGACATTGGAGATACGACGATAAGAGCGCACGGTTAACCCGCAGAGAAGGTAATAATATTACGGCATTTTGAAGTTTTAGGCAAAAAATCATGAAAACTTTAACATTAATTTTGGTGACTGATGAACAGCTAACTCCTTATCGCGGGAAAGTGTCGTTTTTGCAACATATTCCATCCAAAACCGGACAAATATGGCATTAAAGTTTTTTGGATAGGCGAATGCAGAGGCAGCTATCCATTGTAAGTAATCTGCTACCTGGGATAAGAAAGACTCAATCGAGGACATAATTTGAGAGAAAGAGAGTTTGAGAAGTCGCGCGTCTCATTTCAGAACAATAATCGCATTATCATATTTGATAAGTTCTATAAGAAATAAAACTAATATGTACACGATTGCCCTATTTTATAAGTTAGTTGATTATCTAAATGAATGGGAATCGTTCGAAATCAAATCAATGCTTGTTACCAAACGCTACAGAGTTTGGTTCAGGACGTGATAATACCAAGCCCACAGCGACGCAGCACTCATTACTTGAATAAGTGTGCAGTTGCAGGCATTAATAAATAAAGCGACCGCATACCCACCAGGATGGAAGTTCAACTCCAGCCAGATGATACGCGAACTAAAAGCAATATTTGGCCTTGTGTCATCTGTGCTCACCCAATCACACATCGAATGCTAGACAAAAGTTATCATATGCTGAACTTGCATTAATAAATACATTTTTGCTTACCTTTTAAATGAATTTTTTTTTATATAGTTCGAAATCAAAAAATATATGGCCCGTGAATAATATTTGATGTTTGTATATAGCGGGCTTGGATAAATAAATGAATTCAAACTAGAAACAAAAATAATATCTCAATTAATCTTATACTGCTTAAAAGTGACTGAGAGTCACATCGTGGTATAATTCGTTCTAAAAACACGTGGCAAGACCAGTGTTGAAAGTTTTAATAGAAATGAATTTAAGTTTATAAAGCGTTTTAATAACTACAAGTATTTTTACTTAAAATGTAAAAAAAAAAATTAATAAATAACAAATATATATTGCCTATAACCGATTAATTCAACGCCGCCCAGAGAGAAGACATTGATTTTTACTTGATGACTTGTTTCCCTCGAATTTTTGAAATGAATTGATGTTAAAGAGTGTTTCAAAGCGTCCAACGAGACCAAAAAAGTAGGACACGTCGGTGTAAAAAAGTTTAACTCTAATAAGATTTATTATAATAATTAATTGTTACATTAATTGTGGAACCCTCAAAAAAAGATGTCAACGTTCATTTGACCATCAATTTTAAAGCTACAGTAAGCAGACGTAATCTTGACTGAAATTCATAGGTACTATTTCGAATAGAGCTAGTGAACTAATTTGCGCTTCGTGGCCAAAGAAGAAAATTTTCATCGTTCAATTAGATTGTAAACACTCGTGAATGATTGCTTTTCACTATCTTGAGAGAAGTAATGGATAAAATCTTAAAAGGTCTTGAACAAATCTAGTATTATTTAGGCTTATTGCACTAAATGCCGGAGAAGAGTTTGAAACAAGGTAAAAAAGAAAAACAAATTTGAAATTATTACGGTGCAGACTTTGCTTTACTATATTTTCTAAGAGGCGAACGCATTCATTTGTATTTAATAGTCTAAGAGCCTCTTAATAACCCCACATGAGACCTTTCACAATTGTGTTAGTTGACACGATTGCGCATCGCAAGTTCTTCGTTTTCTCAAGATTGCAAAGATTGTGCAGCGTTTCAAAATTAGTTTGTAAAACATATTTTGCTTTTCTCTTTCTATTCAGCAGTTCTTTCTATTCAACAGTTAAAAAACCAATAAGTTTACTTAGCTCGTAATAAGATTAAAATGAAAGCAAAACAAGGCAACGTGAGTCACGCATTCAAGCTCTAATCTACCAAATCAATCAAAAAGGTGAACATAGAAATTGATGCACACGCAATTCTCTTTTTACACGATATATATGCCCCTTAAAAAATTGTGCAAAAAAATCGTGTAAAAAATATATGTGAGATAGTTTAAATTTGGGGACACTTTCCGCAACTTTAAAAATCATCTAAGATTAAAAACTCGATTTATTTTCCCAAAGAACTATGCAAAAAAAGTAATAATTAAATCCAGATTATATATTTATAAAACAGAAACAATTCATATTTATTATACAAAAAAAAAAAAAAAAACAAAAAAAATCACAATTGGCGTGCAGTGAAAATTCAGCCCATCAGTTCAATATGTAAAAATTTGAACCGAAATTAGGAGTAAAAATCAATTTTGCAACTACTCATCGCTACTTGATGAGAACCGTGCATGTCTACTATGTACTATGCCTACTAACGACAGCATTTTCGATTCAGTCTGTGCTAATGATAGCAATTAAGAACACCGTTTGTTAATAGTAGATCAAACCACTAAACGATGTGTGGACATAAATCGACCTGCTTCTGATCACGGTGTTCTTCCAATTGCATTCTGTTAGTGTAAGACACTGCCAAAATTAGAATTTAAAAAAAGTTGGTTTTAGGATTCGTGCTAGAACACTTCGCGTGGCAAAGTGCATTTGTTTTCATTGGTGAACAGTGTTATTTCAAAATCGTGCGAAAAAAGGGCGGTGTAAAAAAGATTTGGGCACACTTTTATTAATAGAGAATTACTTTCCGTTTCCATGGATAGTTTTTACTTAATATGTGCTTAGTTATATGCGAGATTTTAAAGGAGAGGAGACATATTTAAATAATTAAATGAAAAGCAGAAGAAAACCGCTGGATTATATATCTGAAGTGAACAGTTCACATTTTCTCACGAGTATACGAATTTGTAAAGCATTGACAATTCAGTAAAATGACATTTACATTATAGAAGCACAACGACGTCACCCGACACAGATTGTTGGATCTCTCATAGACACGATTTTTCCACTTAAGCTGAAAATGTCTTTGAATTCATTAGAGAAAGATAATGAAAAGCAAAATTCAATTCATCAGAAGTTCAAGGTAATTATAAACAAGTAAAAGCATTGCGGCGGGTCAAGGTCCACTTTTAAATAACCTACCACGTTTCGTTTAATATAGTTATGTATATGACGACTGTTCAATGTAAGGCGTTATATGGTTAATGGTCGAAAAAGGCGTTCCGCTCCTAATCACTTTCAATAGGGCTGGTGTCTGACTCAAAGCGCGGTGATGTACCAAATTTCATAAAAATATCTAAAAAATTGGAAGACAGGCAGACGGACAGAGAAGCTTAAATCGATTCAGAAGGTGATATATATATATACCCGCGCAGACTTACTACCGAAAATGATATACGCTGTAAAAGAAGCTGAATTCAACTTAAGAAATGGTTTATAAAAGATATACGAAATTTTCGTAAATATAAAGAAACGTGGAGCGAAAAAACACGATTTAAGGGAAAGACGGTTGTCTCAAGTATTAATTTCACTTTTATTTAAATGATATCACGCCGTCGATAGAAGACAAAGAGGCCATTATACAAGAGCTATCTACAGTTGCAGATGATAATAGTAAGACGTTAGATGAGAAGACGTGAAACGAAATTAAAATTAAACCCAGAGCAGTAGAGGGTATACGTGAAAATTTTAAAACTATGCTATTAACAGGAAATGTTAACAGAAAATCGATTGTTTCGGCGTTCAGATTTTATATTTATGTGTTTATACCGTAGGCACAGTTTTCTTTCGGAACTTTTTATATGAACATGATTACGAAATGAATGATATGGGAGAGGAAGGGCAAGACTAAATAAAGAATATTTATTTCTTCGGTGGTGGGCATAAAGACTTACACTTGCATATACATATACGTATTTATGTATGCATGTATGTGTGTATGTATATATGTATGAAAAAATTGCTTACATAAATTAAGTGCAACGGATTACTTTTCCTATACATTTTTAAATTTACACGACCGTATTGAGCGGATTGTGCAAAATTCAGTTTATACGTAACACGTTGTTGTCATATATCAAATAAAGATAAAAAAAGAAAAGAAAAAATTTAATTAAAATTAATACTCAAGACATGTAATACAAATTGATCGAATTTCATATGAAAACCAACATGAAAATCGATCAAACACTTTGAAAGGAGATCGATCCTCTTTCGTTGACTTCTCCCTGGTTCTTGTTTCTATCACATCTTTTGCTGATTATCTTTTTGTGGTGTTTTGTATTGTTTTGTTTTTTGCATTTTGTTCTCTGTTTTCGTTTTTTTTTTTTCTTCTCAATCAATTAATTAATTCAAGTCAATATTTGAGCATAAATGAATAATAATGTATATGAATACCATTAGTGTAAATTGCTTATCTCTATTATTTGTTGATATTGCTTTTTTTGGTTGATTGATTGTTATACAAGATATCTTAGTTTTATTTATTTTTTTTCATAATTTTAGCTTAAAATTTCCTTTTTTTTTATATTTATATCCACTAATTTAAAAACTAAATTGTTATATAATTAGTTGAATTACATATCCATCACCGCGGTAATTACATATATTTGATAATTTCAAGTTTGCTTTTTTTTGCTTGCACGTCAGTCCGTCCACTGTAAATATTCGATTCTCGTTTAGGGTAAATGAAAGCACACTTAAATATATGTGTAAACGTATTTAATAAGTAAAAACACTATAGGTGGCTACGACGCATCGTTAAGCACCCTACATCATTTTACAATTATTCATACGACTTTTCGAAATTAGGCGTTACATGGGAGTGGTCGAAAGACTGGTTCGACCCAAACCTTGTACCACAATTTAAGGCGGTGTAATAAAAATGTAATCTGAAAATTTCGTAGAGTATCTTTACCGACATACTGGATATTTGCTGTGGCAACGGCAAATTTGTAATTTCAGAGTAATATAGAAAAAAAACGTCTTGACTTTGAAAATTGTCACTAATGTTTTCACATAAATACATACTTGCGTTAGGATATTGTTTACTTATTGTAAAATTTCCGGTGTGTGTATGTCAAAAACGTTCGTAGTGCGCCGAACTTTTGCTCGATATTAAAATAAAAAAAAAAATTTGAATATATGCACAATTTTGCTTAATTACACTACGAAAAGTGTAACTAAGTAAGTACTAGCGTGCAGTTCAATCTAAAGTACAAAAAAAAAAAAAAAAACACTTAATCGCATGTACGCGCTCGTCGTTGAAATCGTTTCATACGTCGATACCATTCATCTTTCCATTCGATAACAATTGATCGGGGTCCAATGCCTAAAAAGCCGGGCGGAGCTTCAGAGTCTTTACCCAAAATCAAATAAGATCTAAAAATATTAAAAGTTCCCTTAAGATTATTTTGCCTTGTAAGCTTTTTTTTTTTGCGTTCTATTTACCTATTAATTTTAATTTTTGGGCACTTGCATTCTAAGCCCTTCGTCGGTATAATCCATGTCATAGGTCCCCGTCTCAGGACGGTGCTCGTTGTGGCGTATTCGAGTGGTGTGCGTTTGAATATCGCCTGTATTTGTATATCGTATTTTGCTATTTCCATTTGTGCGTCCTCTTCGTCCTCCTCCTCCTCTCCGACCACCGATATCTTGTCCTCGTTGTTGCTGCTCGCTACTTGTTGATTTTCTTTGGTATACTGTTCGCTGCTGGTTATCTCTGTGCTCTGTTCCCGTCCAATTACTTTGGCCATTATTGCTAGAATTTTATTTGCATTTTGAAAATTACTTTTATTTTTATTTTATTTTTATTCTTTTTTTTACATTTTTTTTTTTTTGCTTTTCTACATGTTTATAAATAATGCGGAATTTCATTACCGTAATCTCGCTTGCAAAACTTGTTGAGATTTAGTCTTTTTGTGCTTATTTTGCATTTTCCGCATTCTGTAAATGAAAGATAAGGAAAGACAAAATTGAAATGAGTGAAATTCAAATTGAAAAGTGTACTTAAGTACATATCTACATTCTCCTTACGGATCATCATATCAAGAACATCGCACGCAACTAAATCATATGGAATTGAAATTACAAACGACTCGACGGTGAGCATTAAAATATAGATAACGTTTTTATAGATCTGGAAGATAGTATTTTTCTACATCAAACCTGAAGCTAATTTCAATGGACTTTAAAAAAACATCGTCTAAAGGTTAAAAAAAAAAAAAAAAAAAAAAAAAAAAAATAGAAAAAATATTATTACAATTACTATCAATCAATTCTATCGATACTTTTTTTAATATTTTCAAATAAAAAAATTTAGTGCTTTCGAATATATTTTTTAACTTTTTACTTATATACTTTTTTCTTTTTAAAAAAAAATTGCAATTCTTTGAAAATAATTTTTTGCTTATTTTTTTGATTTTAATAAAAAAAATATTTTGAAAGAATTGAAAAAAATGGTTATTTCTTTGTTTTTAAATTATGGAAACGAATCGTTGGCCATGCAATAAATACACATTGCGGCACTATTGTAGACTTGTGAGCTGTTCTTGAAATTTTAAAATAATTAACGAAATGACATTGTGTTATGCGTAGCACTTATTTTCCCTCAATTTTGCGACTGCAACGGCAATCATCAACGAAATTGTTCAGTTTGATGCGATAACCGTAAATTAACCACTTCAGAACAGATATAACTCCAGTGGCATGTAAAAAGTTCTGTGCGGTTAATTGCTTAAAAATAAAGTAAAATAAAAAAAAAAAAATAAATGAAAAACAGAAACAAAAACATTAGAGACATTAAATTGAATGAAAAGTGAAAATAAAAGCAAAAAACATAGGAAATGAAACAAATTTTCATCAGCTGCAGCAGATGAGCCAACGCACAACAGCAGAATCATTCATTTCAAATTGAAATACTATTCTAAATTTAGTAGTGCGAACAAAATAAAGCCTAAAGCAAATGTTCATACATTATATATATATATATATATATAATTGCGCATCACAAATAAAGAACTACAGAAAAATTAAACAAAAAAAAGGCAAAAAGAAAAAAGAAGAAAAATCACAAAAACAATCGAATCAATGCCAATTAGCCGGGCATTCTTGTATTGAATGCCATTCATTCATTATACAGGAACGATGCTATTTTTTGGTGATAAGTTTCGCATACAATTCAGTCACATTTGCAATCAGTTGAGTTAATGGGATATTTATGTGTTTTTTTTTTTTTTGTTTTTCTTTTATTTAGGGAACTTACATGACCGGACATGAATGACATATGCTTGTCTACGCAACTCACCTGAACAGTTCTTTCTCTATGAAGTTTCTTTTACGAATATAATAAGTGTTTTTTTTTTTTTTTTTTGTTTTCTGGAAATCGGAATTTTATTAAAATTAGATGGATACATGTAAATCTGCCAAGTGAGTTAATGCGGGCTTTGCTGTTTCATAAAATTTAGCGACCATGGTGCAGAATCGCTTTTACTTTCTTTGTATAACCTTTATATATACTTTCATTTTTTGTTCACGTGAATCGTTAGAGTATTTAATTCTATACAATTTACTCGGAACGAAAATATTTGCCTACAACCACAAGTGGAAACTATTCTAAATAGATTACAAGAGATTACTTTTAAATTCGTAGAGTGTAGAACGCAATCACTTAAGGAGTGGGGTGTAAGAATTTAAGTCTAGAGTTTAGGAAAACTCAGTTAAAGGAGTCGCTCAACATTCATTTGAAGTAGTTGGTTGACCGAATTGCAGCAGCAAAGTGTATCTTCAGATTCAATTTAGCCAAGTAAAATTGGCATTGATCACTTCTGACAAAAGCGATTTCAAAGGAAAAGGTAAAGCGTTGTAAAATGGATGCTACAATCAATAGATCCACCTTTTATTAGTTAATTAATAATAATGTTGACGACAATTTCATTATTCAATAATAATCATTACTATAACCAATAATTAGTGTGCCAGCACGTGAACAACAGTAAAGGTAGAGATGTAAGTAACATAACATAACATAACAATAGCGTACAATATAAGGCGAAACGCCAAGACTCAGATGTGATCATAGATTAGAAAACGACTTTTTTAAACTATTTTATATATGCTCGGATAACCAGTAATTTTGATATGAAGTGGTAACGAGTTCCATAGCTTAACAGCGTTCGCAAAGAATAGCCTTAAATGATGTTAAGTAGTTACGGCTGAGCCGTCTTATGTAAATATGTTGGTGTTCCGGTCCTTATAAGCTTGTGGAGAACAAGCATATTGATAATATTAAGATGTATCGGAAGATCGGAATACAATATCTGCAGCGAAAACTGCGATATCTTATCATGTCGCCGCTTTTTAAAGCCGTACCTAGCGCGCTACTTTATGACAATCTGCGGTTGTTTGTTAGAAACATAATCTAATTCACCGCATACATATGCTCCGTATGATATGAGCGGCAGAACAAAACATTTAATTAATCCTAATGTGGTGAAGGTTGGAACATTAGATCAGGAGAGTCAGAGTTTTCCTAAAATAATAGATGCTTGCATTAATTTTGAGCATTTTTTCACTTAAAAAATTGAATTAATATATTAATCAAGCGTTTTCTGTAACTTTTTCCCATATTTCTGACAACATGTCGATACCGTGTCGAAAGAGCTTATATTGATTTGTCAGCGATCCAATCATCCGCACATTTTCTTATTTCTTCAATTATGAGGAGCCGCGTGGCGGCCAAGTCGTGCTGCATCGATCTGAACAGATAGTAATAAGAAGGGGCCATGTCTGGCGAGTAGGCTGAGTGTGCCAGAATATCCGATTTGAACCGCAACAGTGTATCCCTGACAACTTTTGCAACCAATGGTCGAAATGGCATTTTGAGTCAACTTGCATGATAGCTATTTCAGCTACTGTTGCTGGTTTTTTTTTTTTTTGAAACAGTACATCGTTCAATTCGTTCAGTTGACGTCGATAGACATCTGTAGTAATAGATTTATTCCCTCGTAGTACACTGCACCTTGTTGTGCCCACCCTATGCACTTGCATTTCAATACGTTACAGAAAACTATTCTATTCTGGAAAGCGATGGAAGCAAACGAAAGTAATGAATGTAGAAAGAGCAAATCTTGAGCGTTGCGTGATTAGTGAGTGTATACACTGAATAACTTAATAATACCAAATGGAAAATTGTTAGTTTATCTAGAGGCAGACGGAAGTCATTGAATTTAACCGTTATGTACAACGATATTTCGCATTACTTTGGCATTTTTACCTGTAAAAGTCGCTGGCCAAAATCAATGCAAGCATCTAATATTATGAACCAAGGTTCAATATCTTCACTGACCGCTTTAATGCGTGCAAGGAACGGGAATCAGCCTGTAAGTGATATTAGAATAGCTTTCAATTTGCGTGAATTTAACTTTAAATCGTTAAAATCAGACCAGAGGGCAATACGCTCTAAATCATCACTTATACGCTGGACCAGATCCTCCAAAAGTGCAAGCAGGCGTGAAAGGTAAGTTTGTGCGTCATCAGGGCACAAGTGAACGTTGCAATCGAAACAACAACCGATTAAGTCATTTATAAGGTAAGTCCCAAAACGGATCGATTCTTTCGGGACATCAGAGGTAACCAACCTTAGCTCCGAAGAACAATCGCCAATAACCACACGTTGATACCGACTTTCCAAATAAGACCTAATTAAATGAATCGCAGGCGCACTGAAGACATAATGAAATTCAAAGTCATGCAATAGTAAGTTATGGTCACAGGTATCAATATGATCAGTTATTAGTTATTTGACAGAGCAGGAAGAATGCCAATAGGGCCAAAGTCTTCAGGAAGGATAGAAGAAGAACGGAGTTTTACAACAATCAGGAACCGAGCAAGTTGTTATTATGTGATTAAATACATGAGTTAAAGGTGGCTTGTGGCAACCAGCTTGGTAACCTCGATACCAGCACTATCGCAACCGACAGCGTTTAATTTAATGTTATGCACAGCCTCGCATACTTCGTTATCGGTGACGGCGCTAAATTGGAGAGTTTCACCGTGCTGATACATAATCTCCTGTTGCACAAGCACGAAACAGTTGCTGCAACCAGTGTCGGATTTCAAAAAGTGATCATTTAATGTTTTAGGGTTAATTTCACACAGTACGGGACTCTTTTTAACGCCAATGTTCTGGAGATTCTTCCAAAGCACCTTTGCAGGAAGATTGACATCTAGCTTGTTATGAAAGTAAAGGTATTCCCGCGCGTAGTAAACTTGTGAATCTTATTTTTGCATTTACGGAAAACTTCACAATTAACCTCATCCTGTCAATTTTCCAGACTTACATATGCCCCACTACGGAGTCTAATGACCCTTTTGACTTCACTCGAAAACCAAGGTAGCTTGGAAATACTAACTTCGTATGTCTTCCATGGCACGTACTCGTTAAATAACAAGGAAAGACAATACATTAAGCAAGATAACTTATCATTAGCGTCGGCAATATTCAAGACTTTGCTCCAGTAAATTTGCGAGAAGGCACACCTAAGCCGTTGCATATCAATTAAAAAAGTCCCTCTAACTAGACGACATACATATATGAGTATCACAATTGATATCTATATTCATTATGAGAACCAACAAACCATGATCATATATCCCACAAAGAGGGAATTGGTCGTAGTGAATGACTGAGGGACTGTCAGAAACCCATATGAAATGTTAAAGTGCCGGCTTACAAAGCTAAAGAGCTACATCGTCTGGACCAGGAGTTCAACAATTTCAACTGCATAACTTTTCTAGAAGTTGCTCCGCCATACTTGATACTCATGTTCGTTTAAATTAGGGATTAAAGTTACTAGGCATCATAATCTCGCCCTCCTACGGCATTATAGTCTTAATAACTGATTTAGTCCTCTTATTGTCACCATAACAATCAATTACAACAACAC